ATGCAATCTTGCCAACTCCTTCAATTTTCGCTGTAGACGAATTTCCCATGAAAATTGTCTCGTCGGGTTCTGCGGGGGCATAAGAAGAAAATAACTCCTTGTTAGCACAAACATGGCGGGTGGCTCCAGAATCTATCCACCATTCTTTAGGATTTCCTACCAAGTTGCATTCAGACAACATGGCACACAAGTCCTCCATTTCTTCAGCATTTTCAACCATGTTAGCTTGATTCTTCTTCTTCTTATCATTCTTTGGTGCACGACAATCCACGGCCTTATGCCCAGATTTTCCACAGTTGTGGCAATTACCCTTGAACTTTTTCTTGCTTGGGTAATTCTTTGGTCCAGAAGCCTTCTTTCTCTTCTTATTTTGTGGCGCCTCCTCAACAATATTAGCCCTTATTATTGTCGAGTTTCCACGTGACTTCTTTTCATTATTTTTGTTGTCTTCTTCTATCCTCAAACGCACTTAAAGTCTTTCCACAACGGAGGTAATTTCTCAATGAAAGCGGCAACTTGAAAGGCCTCATTAATGACCATACCTTCAGCAATAAATTCATAATTAATAACAAGATAAATCTTATTAATAAATTTATTGATTCAGGTCATACCTTCAGCAAGGAGGTCATGCACAATAACTTGTAATTCTTTGGACTTGAGTTATGACCGACCTAGTGTCAATCATCTTGAAATCCAAAAACCTTGCAGCCACGAACTTCTTAAGTCCGGCATCCTCAGTCTTGTACTTTTTCTCAAGCGCATTCCATAACGCTTTTGAAGTTTCCATGACACTATAGACATTGTACAAGCTATCTTCCAAACAACTCAAAATGTAGTTTTTGCACAAGAAATCAGAATGTTTCCATGCTTCAGTTACAACAAATCGTTCATCATCCGGAGTGTCTTCAGCCAGGACCAGAGGATCCTCCTTGATGAATCGCTGCAAACTCAACGTAGTAAGATAGAAGAGCATCTTCATTTGCCAGCGTTTGAAGTCGATATCGGAAAACTTTCCAGGTTTTTCTGCTGGTGCCACAGCATGAGCAGGAGTTGAACGGCTTGACGAGGCAGCAACATTCGTAACAGTAGCACCCGTTCCCGCAACATTTCCATTAGTTTGGTTTTCATTCGTCATTTTTCTGTAGAGTTGGAAACAAAACAGAACTTTGTTAAATCAGTGAAGTTTTGATATCTTCAAACTGAATACCAACCAAACATACAACACCTAACAATGGTGAAGTTTTATATACTTCAAACCTGTACGTTTATTATTCCGGTAAAGTTTTGACAGAACAATTATTGGAGTAGAAAGCACGAAGGCTTTAGTCTCCAAACCAGTATACAAATTATAGATAACAGTTTATAATATATATTTCAACACAGAAACGTTAGATAAGATTCCTTAAGCTTGTTGTCCGCTACGGTGTTAAAACACGAAATCAGAAAAACTGTTAGAAGAATAAAAAAAATTGGAAAACAGTAAAGAATAAGAAATATTCCGAGTCCACAATTTGCTTGTGCGTCCTTAAGGAATTTTAACCCCCTCACACGTTGCCATGGTAATGGATTAAATCCTCCCAGGATGAAACGGGATAAACCTTCCTGCAACAGTGGCAATACAAACTGCATGATACCAACGAACTCAAAGAACGGAGCAGAATCACACTTACGAATTTGAGAGAGAGAGACTGCAAATTAGAATGCAGTATTTTCAGAAAGAAGGAAGTTCTGTAATGTTTTTGGTGTGTTAAAAACGAAGCCATGCCTCAGAATTTATAGGCAATTATTGGAAGAGGTGTGATGTTTGTTCTGGAAAAGGTGTCTGCTCAGAAGTTTACGCGTCCTGCCGCGGTCCTACCGCGGTTACGCCAGGACCGCGGCCAAACTAGCCTTCTGAATCTGCAGCAGTGTTCTGGCGCGGTCCTACCGCAGTTACGCCAGGACCGCGGCTAGACTATCCTTCTGAATCTTCAGCAGTGATCTGGCATTTAATTAATTATTAAATAATTAATTAAATAAATTTTGTCCAAAAATAATCTTATCGATCGATCCAAATCCAAAGCCAAAGCCAAAGCCGAAGCCGAGCCGAGCAAGCGACGACGACGGCGTGAGGGTTCATTCTCTTCAACTCCTTTTAAGAGCTTTAAGAAGTGATTCTATATATATACACACAAATGTAGTTGTCCCTCACCAATGAGGGACAAAGTGCAAGTCAAAAGCTCACTTTATTCAAATTTTTATTTCCCACCATTTCCAATTCACACTCTTAGACTTTAATGCCCAATGCTTAAAGTCTTTGAAGCCCAATGCCTTTAAAGTCCCAACAGATTTTTTTTCGCCGGAGCTCGTGGAGCAAATTTTCAACAAATTTATGGTATTAATACAATTCTTATCTATTTAAGCGTTATAGTATTATTATTTTCATCTAACATTACACACTTCATTTGCAGACTAAGTGTGCATGGGAGGGCCGGCATAACAGTGTAATTTTTATAAATTTTGAGTTCAAATGCCGTAAAAGACTAGCCAACTCCTCCTTTTCTACTCGAAAGAAAAACAAGAAGCTTTCATGGGTTCTACCGCATTTATGGGAGGATCTACTGAGGCAGTGGGCCACTGAGAATTTCGAGAAGAAGAGTGAACAGAGAAAGAAGGCTTGAGTATCTGAAAAGGGTGGCTCCTTACACACTCTGGGTGCAAGGAGCATGGAGACTGCGAGGAGACTACTAGTAATTCCTTAAAGCATTTAAATATATTTTTATCTAACTATATCTATTTTAATTTAGTTAACAAGTGTTATTATATTTGTAGGAAAAAAATATGGGAGGAAGCTGACTCACGATGAGTTCTTCATGGAGACTCACATCCAGAAGAAGAAGGCACCGAGGGATCCAAGTAGATGGGTCGAGGACCGGGCGGAGACTACCTATGTAAGTTTTATAACTACTATAAATTAAAATTAATGTTTATAATATTATAGAGTTAATAATGTCATATCTTCTAAATAAAGGGTCGATATAAGACTACTGTGGAGGAGTATAGACAGAGATTGCCGCCACCGAATGAGCAAGGCGCCCACCTTCTATTTTAGATGAAGAAGCGCAAAAAATTTGGTTGGATGTTGTTAGTGGTCCTAAAAAGGGATAGCATACAGCCTTCCAGAGAGATTATTTCAGCGCTACAAAATTGGATTGCAAGGTATATGGACTTCCGTCCAGGGCGAGGCACTTGATAGGTTGACTCTCTCGGCTATGAAGAAGAAGAACGCAAAGCTGTCAGCAGAGCTTGAAGAGGCAAATGCTAGAGAAGAAAAGAGAGATCAAATATTTAATAGCATTCAAGGTGAGCTAGAAAAGAGATACCAACAATTTAATACCGGTCAGCTGGCCAATCTTCTTGTTAGTTGGGCTATTCCGATTCCCCGGTCTCGTGAGTGTTCCCCAGATGCTACTCTTTCTCATCGTGATCCTTCGAACCACGCCGACGATGAAGCTTCTAGTAGTGGAGATGATGCAGTACAAAACACTCCTTGAATGATGTTTGTATTATATTTGAAGTTTTAACTTGTGAAAAGTTTAGTTGTTGGAATTTTTTAAACTCTATAAATGTTGTTAATCTAGTTTTAACTTGTGAAGATGATGTTGTTGTTAAAATTATTATTGTTGTTATTGTTTTAGAAATTGTTATTGTTTGAATGGCACCAATGTAATATTGGCATTATAGATTATTGGTTGTGGCAGGTGGTGCAGTTGTAAAATAGCAATATTCTACCAAATATTTACCTAGAAAACCGACAGCACACCGACCGATGTCGGTTGGAAACGTTAAAATTAAATTCCCAAAAATCGATCGCTATCAGCAATAAATAATTTCCAGAATTTAAAATTACCGAACGAAATTGGTTGGAATTTGGGTTTTTAAATTTAATATATTTTAATAATAGCGGCCAATTTCGGTCGAAAATATATAATTTTAAAGAAAATAAAAAATTACAATATTGTCTGATATCGGTCGCTACTGTAAAGAATAATGAAAAATTATTTTCCAAAATACCGACCGAATTTGACCGGTATTTTTAGTTTTTCAATAACTTGTGTCAGATTATTAGTCAAAGTTTGGTTGAATTTACTGACTGCCGTCTGTCGGAAATTGCGACCGTCTTCGGTTGCCACACGTTAGCGACCACTGTTTTTCGACGAATTAATTTCGGTCGAAAATCGATCGATTTTCCTTGGATTCCGATCCATTTCGATCGGTATTCCTGAACCCTTTTTGACAGTTTTCTAATAGTGTTCATGACAAACAAAAAGAGAAAGTGGGGTTGCAGACCAACAATCGGGCAAAAGAGCATAGATACTCCACCATCTCTCCCATAACGATTATGACTCAAAAACCAAGTGAACATTGACGAGCCCGCCCTTCTTCTTACCGAGGAAGGGCCAGCACTCCCGAGGGAAGGGAGTCGACGGACTGACAAGTATGGATTCTTTAATATAGGCACAGAAAGAATAGATTCAAAAGTAGTAGTTTCCTTTAATTCACATTTATATTACACAATGAAATTGGTGGAATATAAAGGAAGCTATAGAAAAAGAAACCCCTGATGAAATAGTCGAATTATTGGCCCGGACACTACAACTATAGAAAAAGAAACAGATAGAAATGTGGTCAAGAATCTGAGTGTCCTCTCTCTTTCTTCTCCTTGCTCCTCTTCCCTTTTGATTCTCTCGCTATAATAAGCAAGCTCAAACTAAGTCAATATTATCATCTTATTAAAGATCGCAATCACATTTGATTATGTGATTGCAGAAGTGCACTAGGAGAAAATTTACCACACGAAGGAATACATGACATATGTCTTCCGCATCCACTTTGATCACTTTATCTCAAATCAATTTATACTTAATCATGGTAACTTTATGTAGTTTGGTGTAAAACACCAGGTGCAGGTTTCTTTCCCCTGCACTGAGAGAAAAAGGAAACATGTAATGCTGCGTCCAGAGACGAAAGATCAAATTATGAACCGGCATTCAACCAGCATGAGATTCATAAGAAAATGACTGATCAAGCTAACAATACTAAAGGTAGGGATATTCTCGATAAGTAGTTCGTTAATCGCAAAGGTAATGCCATGTTCAGTACCAATAAAGTTACTGTGTTGGCAGAACAGAAAAAAAAAAAAAAGAAAGATGGAAATTGCTGAAACAGAATTATGTTTCGCCTTCCCATGGTGACCTCAAGTCTTCCAAGAGGGCTTTCCTGAACTCTTTCCATAGCATCGGTTACTGCATCATGGCACGGGGAAGTCGTGGCCTCACTGGTGTTTTTGAAGGACTCACCCTACAAAATTAATAAAGATGCAAAATTAGACAAGACTGCAAAGCAAGAATTACATTTCCTTTCTCCGATTTCCTTTCTCCGATTTCAAGTATGTAATGATCTTCCATAAATGTAAAAAGAGAACTCTAGCAAAAATAATCTATTTTCAAATACTTCGCAGATTGTATCTTTTGGATAAGATCCCTTCATATTTGTTATAATAAGAGAGGAAAATTAGATCTAGATTCCTATTCTAGTCATACCTAGTTAGACTTAAGTAATAAATATGTATTTCAATGATAACTTAGGTTGGTGTCCACTAGCAATTTCCTTTTTCCTGGATAAGTAACAGAAACAATTAAGAGATTTAATAACTAATAACTTCCCATCTCTTCAAATTACTAATTAAAATTGAACATGCAATTTATGCATGAAACCAAGCCCCTCAAAATTCTCAACTCTACTAACGCAAGTAACCATTAGACATTACTAAGAGTCATCGTCTAAACTAACCTTGAACAGGACTAATACAATAAGATACTATTCCTCCCAAAACTAGAAAACTTTCTGATTTATTCTCTACTATCAAGCATAAGCTACTCTGATCTTTAAGTCTTCACGCTCGACTATCAGATGACACAAAAGTAGAAATCATGGAATGGCACAATAATATTTTGGAGAGAGAGAGAGAAATAGAAAGGAAAAGTATCGGCAGTAGGGAAAGGAATTAGAAAACATGATGTGGCGCCTCCTTGAATACAGCTTAACCAATATACCAATCTCAGAAAGATGGAAAATACAACAAGAAAAATGAAACAATCTTTCTAGAAAAAATTAAGTGTGGACTAGCTGGTGCCATAGCCACTTGTAAAGAAGCTTTTACCTGATGCGTTGGGATCCTAATATCTCCCCGCAACAGTCTAATGCCAAAATTGCACTCTCAGCCTGCGCAGTTTTCAAGTATAAGATTACATTCAAATTTCATTCCATATTAACATACTGTTTTGAGAAAGCAATAAGCAGTCATAAGTCCTCTTCCTTTATCAGCCTTAAACTAAATACCTATTTTTTCGGAAACAGCCTCCCTACCCCCAGGGTAGGGTAAGGTCTGTGTACACACTACCCTCCCCAGACCCACTTGTGGGATTATACTGGGTTGTTGTTGTTGTAAACTAAATACCTATTTTAGCTTTAAAAGGCAAAGATTCAATATCTTGCTGCAGATTTCCTTAGCTACCCATGTAATAATCTATTAAACCTTCATATTCTCAATAGCAATCAAATGGGCAAAAGGGCGGCCAACGAATAATGGGGGAAATAAGAGAGTACAGTCCGAGGCAACACAATAGAAGTTGTGTTATATAACATTCAACAATCCCTACCAAAGATAAGAAAGCATACCATTACAAACTCAACAAAAGCAATGCGGGTTGAGTGCACGTGATCCCCCAAAAGCCTCAGACGAGAAACCTGCAAAGTAAGAGTGTTCTTCAGTATCACTTCTTAAGCTAACATTCCAAACTTAATGCAAACGTTTAAACATCATACTGACCTCACCACATCTTGTTTCAAAAAAGTTCTTGACGTCCGCCTGAGTAACCTATTCAGAATAGAGTAATTGGTTGTAAACTAATTATAAAATACTAATGGATACTATGGTAGAAAGAAAAAAATAATTTAACCAACAGCCAAGTATGAGGCAGAGCATAATAACTACCAAAAATGTGCATCTGACAGAAAGATGCAAGGAAAGAATGAGAAAACTTTACAAGCTCTCAAAGATGAAAATATCTACCTTCTTATCGATATTTGTACAGTAGACTGTCCTGGCGCACATCTCGCGCTCATCCTCCGACTACAGAAAACATCAATATTAAATTGAGAATTAAGCAATTAGTTCCATGAAAAAAACATAAAAACTATTTCTCAGCACCATCCACATACTAGCACAGCAAAGTGCCAAAGTTCTTTATTTTTTTGGATAAAGAATAAAGAGCAAAATATTTATCCATACCCTTGGAAGAAATGTTGGATTCACGGGTAGAATAGCAGTTTTCGAGGGTAGGACCTTCAGTGGAGAGAAACCTAATATTGTCCCACAAAGGCTAAGTGATGCTCTCGCAGAGTCTGCTAGGATCGATTCCATATTAGCTTTGAATATTCAGCTGTCTTAAGAAGATTTCAAGCCAAATCATCCAACTTACATTCATCAGCGAACTCCACAAAAGCAAAACGAAGACGGGAATGGGGATCACCGCAAATTCGGCAGTCAACAACCTGGAAAGGAAGTAGCAAAAATGAGAATGACCATCATTACACACCTTGATACATTAACACATTAAAGTTTTTCTCAGAAAAAAGGAACATGATTACAGTCTACCTTTGAACAGAAAAGGAGGAATCATTCACATTAAGCATAACATGTAAAATAAATAAACAAATATGCCAGCGGAGATTGCGGCGCAGTTGGTTGATTGACTGATTAGAATAGATCTGCTGTAGCTATGAGGTAAAACCATAAAAGTCATTATTTTGGAAATATATCAATTACGCCATCATAAATATGGCATAAAATTTAGAAACTAAGCTGACAAACAGGAAGATAAACATCCTGAAATTCATTGCAACCTTCACCACACTTCACACAAGCAGCTCGATCTATGTCCTCCCACACATTTAGAACTTCTTCATGACAAGTTTTTTGGTCCCACAATGAATAGTTGAAACAACAACAACAACAACCCAGTAATATCCCAAGTGCGCGGAAATATCAATTCTCACAAGAAGCAACTTTGGAAAGACAAATCATGATGCCCCATGAAGCTAGTTGAAATGCATCTTCTAGGACAAAACTGTAAGCGCACAATAAAGCATTATATAGGTGCCTAAATCATAGACCAAACTATATAAGCTGCCTCTTAGAGTCTGGTGCCTCAAATTAGGATACAGCAAGAACCAATGACGTAAAATTTCCTTGGATAGGGGCTATTGAGGATTTACTTCAGATCAAATGTTAAAAGACTATTAAATATTCATTAAGCCTTAACCGTACTAACCATGAGGGCAAGACTCCTCGTCTATCAAAGTCGTCTTCACCAAAGTCAAGTGGACAAAGCTTCCTATTTGGGAAAAGAGTTTAGGCCCAATGATATTCAGGATTTAACAAATTTTAATTGTAACAAATGTTGCTGGCTGCAGAAAGCCACATACGAACTATGACCCATGTGCTAATTCACCAGAAAGCATGGTCATGCAATAAACCACAACAGAACCCAGCCCCTCCTTAATATGGTCACCAGCAACTTCACTGAGAGACACTGAATAGAGCAACATTTACTGGAAGGTGTCCTCACTCAGATGATAAGGCTACTGTTCTGCTAAAGTATCGGAAAAAACGGAGTAAAACAGGTATCGGATCCCCAAGTTAAGGCTACTGTTCTGCTAAAGTATGATATAAGTAGCACACAAAATGTATACCTATGTATCAAGTTACCACTCTAAGAACAGAAAAGAAAAGTAATTCATTATTTCTAGTTTAGGTGCCTCAAAGATCTACAAGTATATGCACTTAAAAGCAGTCAAATATCTAATATAATGGATCACATCAATGTTCAGAAGAGCAAAGTGACTTACTTGTCCATAAGCACTAAACAACGCAGCAAGCTGCTCTTCGGTGACCTAGATATTGAAAAGGCACAACCAAAGATACTCTCTGAGTACTAATAAAAAATATCACATAAAATTAATGAGAATCAATCCTTACGTTATTATCTATCTCAGCGACATATACTGTTCGCCTGATGCTATCTTCTCTTTGAGCCTTGTAAGCTCTATTGTTCATTCTCCTTTTGCCTTGGTTATAGTTGTTGCCTCTCTGAGGAAACACAAGTTTAGGAGATATTACAAGACAAGAAAATAGAGATGGTTTTCTATGAGTCAAATATTCTGGTTAGCATACAAAATAAGACCAGATTGATCCAGGCAAAGCTGCAACTGAAATGTCAAGTATGTTGTTGATAAGTTTATGAGGCTAGGAAATCATCTGAATTGATACAACACCAACAACAGCTATGCCTCAGTCCCAAACAAGTTCAAGTCCCTCACTGACCATGTTATTGACCATGTTACTCCATTTTAGCTCATCTCATGCCAATAATATGCAAATACAGATAAAAAATAATAGAAATTCTCTATATTTTCTAAATCATCTAAATTGATGTTCTTATGAAATGTAAACAACTAACTCTAACATGCATACAGATAAACATTCCCAATTAGGAAATTACCATTAACCCAAGAGATGTAAAAGTCAACAGCAACAATATGACTTATTTAATGAGTAACCTCTAGAGATGATGGCTGCGATGACTCAAAACAAATCAAACTGTCATTTAAAGTAACCAACTAAAACTCATTAACCCCATATTAACATGAGAAACATAAATATGGCACTGTATGTGATTGAACGTTACAAGTGCAGAAATCAAGTTCCAAATGCAAAACTTTTTTCCAAAACAAAAAAGTCTAGGGGAAAACAATTCCTCCATAACTATTCCATAAAGGTAAAAATGATAAAATCACAACTGCATTTAAGCATAATGTACAAATTCCTGATAACAGATTCAGTAGTTTTAAAGTTAGCAAATGCAGTCAAAACATATAGAGATGCTTGAATTGATAAGTAAGGGAAGTTGGAGCCCTGCAGGCATTCATAACAATCACAATGCAATTCATCATTTACAAATATATTCATATTTAGACGAACTGACAAACACTTGGATTCAAGAATAACAAAACAGCAAAATAATCCCCTTAAATCTCATCCACATACAGCAAAAGGTTCTTTATAAGTATCATTAAAAAAAACAAAGAAATAAAAAGCTGCAAATAGCATGTTCACACTCAGATTAATACGACAAATTTCCACGCCGCCCACTATAATGGACCAATAATACTCTTCCATTTTAAACCACCTATCAGTAATAAAAGTGATAAACAAAATTCGATGGTCTCATTTAACTAACTGAACATCAAGCCTCCACTTTTAATGATCGGATGTCAAGAATCCCCTGTTAATAAACAAGGAGTCAAAAGTTTGATGATAAACCCTTCGAACATTTCCTTGATAGTTGCGAACCCCAGTTCCTACATTCAGTCCATTCAGCAATAAATCATATCCTTTTAAATGATCAATGCCTATATGCATTAAACTTGCTTCAATAACATATTTGAGAAACATATTACTGAAAAGCTTCAACGATCATTTCTTAATAAGGAAATGTAAAAAAATTCCAAAACAAATGTTGGAATTCTTTTTATCCTTCCAAAATTACAGCAATTCCACCAAAAGACCTAATGCTTAAACAGACACCTCCCACAAGTAATTAAAACAAACAAAAGGCTTAAAACGAAAACTTGCACACCAGAAAACACACGCACACAGATTACAAAAATACTCAACAAGAGTTCATTCACCATTAATTTGACAACTTCATAATTGCAACTTTGCCACGTGGAAATCTTGAACTACTTTAAAAGTCAAGATACAACCAGCAAAACAGACCAAAAAAAAAAATCAAAATTTTCAACAATCATATAATCAATGAAGAATTTTAATTAGAATCAAGAACTAAAATCTATACCCTTCTGTTATTTTGCAAACCATCAGCACCTAAAGGAGTCTTGTTAGCTGGCACAAAATTACTCATGAGAAGCATCTGATCACCGCGATTATTATTATTATTATTATTACTATAAGAAGAAGGGAAAAATTCCTTAGCCATTGGATTCAACTTGAGTTTTTTCAACATGTCAACAATATCTTGCATTTGATATTCAGATTTTGCATTTGGGATTGGATCAGATTCCTTAACACAACCATTATTAGATTCAGAAATAATATTATTGTCAGTGTTTGGTGACAGAGATTGAACAGCAGGAGCTTCAATCACTGCTGTCTCACCACACACTTCTTTTGCACCAGCAGCCATTGAAATAGTAAAGAAAACCTCAAACTCACAAAACAAAAAAAGCTCAAAATTTTCAAGAAAATGCTAGAATTCTAAAATTCCAATAGATTAAAGCAACCCCTTTGATGAAAAAACACAATCTTTATTATTGTATGTAAATATCTGAGATTTGAGTGATCTTAGTAAATTAAATAAGCTCAAAAATAGCAAGAAAATACTAGAATTCTATAATTCTGATAAATTAAAGCAACCCCTTTTTGTGCAAAGACACAATTTTTATTTATACATGTAAATATGGAATTCTAAGAGTAGAAATGTGTGTAGAAAGGCCTATTGAAACAGACCCATTTGGAGAAAAAGAGTCTGAAATGGAACAAAAGAAGAAAGTGGTGAGAGAGAGGAAGAGTAGAGAAAAAGATAGTAGTAAAAAACTTTAATAGGGTTTTTTGGTAACAAATTGTTGAATAACAGAAGGCAGAGTATTTTGGTGGTATTCTTGTTTTTTTGTTGTGGTTTTGTAGAGGCAAGTGAGGTTTTTATGTGAGAATGTAATTACCAAAAAATGAAAATGTATACTGTGAATTTAGGCATATAGAGGGAGAAAGAAGGAAATGCAGTTTGGAGAGAGAATGGGAGGAGGTTGAAGATGGAGAAAATCTTTTTATAGGTTTTTTTATTTGTCGTAACCGATAAACTTATTATCATATGACCGAGGAGGTCACGGGTTTGAGCCGTGGAAACAACCTCTTGCAAAAATGCAGGATAAGGTTGTATACAATATACCCTTGTGGTCCGACCTTTTTCTGAACCCCGCGCATAACGAGAACTTAGTGCATCGGGCTGATTTTTTTTTTTTGGATTTCTCCCTGCATATGTTTTTGGTGCTCTACTAATATGAATTCACGCATAAAGTCTCCCTTAGGAATAAAATGACCTTAGCGACTCCATTTTTTAGATTTAAATCTCAAATGTGTGATTAAGGATAAATGGACACTTACTATCCTACAATAATTTTTGTGGCAACAATTTTGATAGAGCATAGGTTGCATGTGTTATAATTATGTAATAATATTTGATTAATGGTATAGTAAAGATGAAAGATTCTTCTATTTCTTTCTTCCATATTATTTATTAGTAGAATATTGTGATTGTAATTCATTATGTTTAACTGATAAATTTTATGCACACTCAATATACATGTCATGCATTTTATAGTGTCATATATATATATATATATATATATATATATATATATATATATATATATATATATATATATAAGGGTGTTACAAAAATCTCATAAATTTGACTTAATCCTATGAAAATTGATTATTTAACACCAAAGAATATTTTAAATGTACAGTGGGGATAGGGGACAACTAACGTAAGATGACTTAAGTCTTGTTTTTGTTACCTTCCGTTGCAAATGGATATGACATTCATCTAATTATAAATTTATAATTCATAGTGTATTTTATCATATCTGCCTCTTTAAAGTTTGTTCAGATTGTATACATTTTTTTACAATATATAATATATTTCTTGCACACCCCATCCTTTTCTTTTTAGTATCTTTCGGTCCCAATTTATACGAGGATATTTAATTGGACACGATGCTTTATAAAGAAAATCTTTTAAAATTTGTGATTTAGAATGAATTTTATGTGGCTATAAAATATTTTATTAAAAGTAAAATTTAAAATTAAATTATTCTTGAATAAAAAATATACGTAATATTTTTTATAAGACCGAGTAAAAAACGTCATAAAATATGTACTATAAGTTGTTTGTCTGATCTTTCTGTTCTTTCTGCTATTTTACTGGTGACACTGCGCACAATGGAGTGCGTGATAATTGGTGAATAGTGATTATCTTATAGATTGGAAAAGAAAGGTACTGCAAAAAACCTTTTTTTGAATTAAAATAATTAAAAGAAGAAAATACAAGAAAATGTCTGAATTGGGGATTATTGTAACTCCAATATTCTTTTTGTTAAAACTAGTTATGGTTTCATCAAATTATAATATTAGACTTTAGCCATTAAGGCAAATGTCATTTTTCTTTTACTCGGAACTTTGGACCTTATGGGGAGTAAAAAGGAAAATAATTTATTCACGCTCTATATTTATATCAAGATACATTAATTTATTATAGTCAACTCATAAATTAATGCAAGCATACTAATCAATTAATTATAATTAAGTGATATAAATGTATATAAATAAGATATAAAAATTATTTATCAATTAAGATGCGAAAATAAATTTAATTGGG